ACAGAAATTGGTAAAAGTAAAGTTATTATATTATTAAATGTCTTGAAAAGCACCTAACGCTTTTTTACGACTTTTTTTTTTGAATTTACTCTTTAGTTCGACTAGTTTTTTAGGTTGCTTATACCATTTTTTATTTTTGTTCTTTTAGTGATAATTGATGATTATTTTCTAATGAAAACTAAAAAAGTAATAAGTAAGTCGCATATGCTTCAGAGGGCCAAGTGCGAGTTCATTTCATATCAACTCGCTCTCGACTTCGCGCGTTCGGCATTGCGATTGGTTAAAATTTCAGTGCGGGCCAATCGCAGCTTCGAACGCGGTCACCGTGACGATCGAGTAGATGTGAAATAAACTCGCACTTGGATTTCTGCACACGTCTCTTCGTACGTAGCAAAAGACACTGCCGTCTTTTTAATTACATATGTCCGTAGGATTAGGTATGGTTAAATGCCGTTTTTTCCTTTCGATTTAATTCGACGTTTTGAAGTGGGTCAAAATCACGTTCGAAGATTCCCTTACATACGAGTACATATATACAGTCCAAGCTGATAAAAGCGAATTCATCAATCATCATCATCAACAGCCTATGCTAGTGTGTATAAAAAAGTGTAAAAGCGAATTAAAAACATATATTCATAACATCAATAAGCGTAAGAGATCCCTTAAAAGTAGTTTGCCTGACTTACTAATTATTATATTACTATTGTTCTTAGCAATAAAATATACGACTTTAAAAATAATATTTTTTTTCTTTAATTTTGGAAATTAATCATGAAATGCAGTTGAAATATGAATATTACATAAAAGAGTTCTGTCTATAAAATATCTGTGTATTAATGCTTGTAAAAGCTTTGCAGAAAGTCTTAATATTACCATGTACCTTGGTACCTAGATCATTAATCTAGATAGATCTACGTCATTTGTGTAGGTGGTTTTTATGAAGAAACCTTTAACAATACAATACTTTAAAACATTTTCGTTTATATATTTAGAAACAATATTGCTTTCTTCAATTATTTTAAAATTTCAAAAAAAAATCGGGGAAATAATAAACAATAATAATACTTGTGATATAAATCAAAATGCAATCGGAATCGGAACGCAGCTAAAATGATTGAGATTCAAGTCAATATTTAAAAGTTCTCCTGAGTCATACAGGTCAACGTCTTGACACATTGTACAATGTTGTAAATACATATATTTATGTAAATATTCTCGCTACTTTCATTGAAATGATTGGTGAATGTAATAGTAATGAACGAAAACGTCCAAACGATCTGCTACTGTTACTGTGTTACTGTATCTGTTACTGTTTATAGCTATAATGGTGTAGGCACACATTACGAGGCAGTTAAAAGGTATGAGGAGGATCATTTCACAAAAGACCTGTGATTGAAGTTTCGAAAAACTTGTAAATTTAAATTTAAGGTGAATTATTTAAAATTAAGGTCTAAAAGTAAATTTGGTTTACTTTTTATTAATAAAAAGAAACTTACAGAATTTTAAACGTGTGTAAATCGTCAACGATGGCAGTGTGAACACTATCATACACTGATTATAAATTAGCTTACTTGTTATGTCCCATAAACCTACAAACTAAGATTTTCAAGTGTTAAATGCAATCATAAGGAAATTACACACAGTTGAAGTAATTATATTGTCTTCTTGAATGTCTCCACACACATAATAAAGACGACTAGGATTTGTTATCTTCTTAACTCTCTATTTTACTACATTGTAAAAAACAAATGTTTTCAATTTATTTAAAATAAGAGTTCACGTTTAGTTTAAAAGGAGCAGAGACGGTACTCACGTAGTTTTTTATGCTAATAATTACGTAAAAAACTCCAAACTCCAACAAATCTGTCCCAGCTATGCTTTTTTTTATAACGTGTGGAAACCCCCTCGGGCAGTCACCCCACCGGGGTTTGCGGCGGAGCAGTGTGTGAGAATGGAACCGACTAAAACCATACGATGTGATCTCAGCTATGCCTTATACTAGCCTTTACCCGCTGATATACTCGTGCTAGTGCAGGTCTTGTCAATGATTTCATTCATCACTCAGAAACGGGCTTGTTAATGTATGTGTCATTATCGTCGCGATTGTGACAAAATAAACCCTAGCTCCTCAGATTAGTTAATTTTGACTCTTTTCCAATAGAATCAACAATCCCAGTTACATTAGTACAGCAATAATGTGATTCCCCTTGCAACTCCAACGGTAGTATAATTTGTGTATTGGCAACACTTTCCGAACAGTGAAGCGCTTTAATTCAAACAGCTATCGATTCCACCTTTCCTATTTACATATGGACTAGGTAAACGTCGATATAATAACGGTTTTCCTTGACTATAAGTATGGTAGACACCATAAACTGTAAGACTGTCCTAATTATTAGTAACATTTTATTTAAAGAAGCATGAGCACATCAAACAACTTTCAACTACATTTTTGCTGTAAAATATTTAGCCATATTTAAATGTTGTTAGCATTGTTTCTTGATAATAAACCCAAGCAGTACCCATTACGTATAGGTTTATGTCTTAATGTTTACCTATTAGTCCATACAAGCATAGGTATTATTGAAAACTCTAAGTCCCTTGGCATTACTACGCGCGTGCGAATGTGGTTTTCCTTCTAAAATAGGTTACAAACTTTAAGAATTTTACGTCAAGTGACGTATTTATTGGGTAAAATACAATTATCCATAGGTACTATAAGTATACTTTCTTGATGTTTATTTAAAACAGATTTTAAGTACCTACGGTTTCTTAATAACAGTATCTGATCGTTTGGTCAAAAAATGAATTAATTTGAAAGCTTCACGATGAACCACTAAATTTGTCATCAGAAGAACAGTATTGAACTAAAAATATTAAATATAGCATGAAATAGTTAATACTACAAACTATTGTAATTTTGTAGCCGGAACACGTTTTTCCTATCATTTATCAATAGTTCAACTATTCATTAGCAATAAGAAACTTATAGTCAAAGCATTTCCTTTACCAAACAACTTTCCAGATTTAAAATGTTCTCCGTTTCTCTTCAGAACTACTGCTGCAACTAGTACCTTTTTTTTAAATTAACACGATTCATTGTATTTGAAAACATTTTAGCAAATTGTATTGAGTACCTATATGTCTAAATAAAAAGTATTGTTAACATAACTACAGTTTTACATAACTAAGACTGTGGCCGGGTGTGCCATCGAAATGAAAACGTAGTAAGTTAAAGTTACAAGTCAGGAACTATGGCAGTCTTCAGAAAGATTCGAAATGTAGTAGACTAGAGAGTTTAAAACTTAGCATGTGACATTAATTTATAGTGAAATTGACAAAAGAGTCAAATATTTCACCACTTAAATCCTAAGGTGACACTTAAATACCTACACTTGTCATATTCCATTCACACCGTTAAAATTAAAGAAACGAGAAAGTAAGTTCTCATCTATAATGAAAGATTTTGGAATTTTTTTGCCGTACCTTGACTTACCAGTTTAACGGCATTTACATTCTGTCAGGGCGTTGAAGCCACTAAACTGGCTTTCAATTCGTACTCTTAATAAATAACTAAGACATCGAATATCACAAGATGGCCAAAAAAATAAATTTTAAAATATATATTAAATTGTGTTCTTTTTTCTTTTCTACTTTCCTTGTAACTGTGTAACATACACATGAATTTTTTTACAGATTATATATGTTTTAGGAGCAGTCTAGTCAACGAGTGGGAATTGTCACATGCATATCAATTCCATTTACACTGCAAATAAGTAACATTATATAGTCACATAGCAATGTTCATTAAAACAATGCTGTAAAATTGCTAAAACGATCAAATACCCAAATGATATTGCTATTTGCTATTTGTATATTTCATCCTAAAGATTTGCATACTTTTTATGTCAGGTGCTTGTAACTATATTAGCGTTAGATATATTAGTGTTGTCGTAAATAAGTAAGTGTAGTTAATAAAATAATAACATGATCATTGTTATTAAGAAATAATACCATTAAATGAGTTTTAAACAACTCTTACCTTAAGGCCTATTGCTTCGTGGCCCCAACAGGCGGAACCATGTACAGTGACGCCAGAGCACCGACACAGGCGCATAAAAAACTTTCGCTTTTCACTGCCAAGGCTCGGACCGCGGCCGCGCGGGTGTCGCGTCGCGCGTCGTCGCCGTTATTACATGTCATTACGTTAGCAACAATATTTCTATTGTTTTGTATCACTGAATTATAGGAAATATTATAATACTGTTATCTAATTTAATGTATAACGTTACATAACCTTGTTATTTCTTAACTGATATATTGTGTAGGAATTTTGTTCCGTGAAACAAATTTCTATTTATAAGCGCATCTTTGTTGTATTGTTATTTTGCTATATTTATGTTGTAAAAAATTACTAAGTGAGGCCTCTAAGCCAATATTCAAATATTACGTAATGTCATTTTACAAAGGAAACTGTATGTTCAACACTGAATGTTGATGAAATACAAAATACACTCTCAAAAATAGGTAGGTAGGTGTTATGATACCGGTCGCTTTAAATAAGTATACCTACACAAAGACTTTATCTGAGTATATTTTCTAGAGTTAAAATTGTTAAATCTATCATCATATTATAATTATACAATTATCTATAAACAAATAGACAATAATAAGATAAGATAAAGGTAGGATCAATTTTTCTCTGTGTATCAATCTGTGTGTCTTTATTAATGAGTTTTGTGATATCACAAAAAAATAATTAAATATTTCAAACCTAAAAGAACCACAAAAAGCTAAATAAATACGTCCAGTACCAATGCTTACCTGCCCGGTATGGAAAGTCAACATAAATACAATGACAGTTCGTAGTGAACGTTGCAATGAAACATTCAAAAATTAAGAAATTATGATAAAATATTTTTGATACTTAATCACACTTTAGTATTCATTTTTGCAAGTGGATTTATTAGTAATTTTATTTTATATTATTTCTTCTACAGTTATGGATATGCGTGTCGTGCTTGGTGTCATCGCTCGCAGCTCCAGCACCTTCACAGAATTCTCAGCTATACCTTGACATTATAGACATGGCAGCAATCAGCAGAATGTCACCACAGCAACTAGAGGTTTTGGCGGAAGGACTAGCAGCTGAGGAAATTATGAGGTTAGTAAGTTTTATTCAGTGAGGTCACTTTGTGATAAAGAAATGCTATAGAATATTTATAAAAGGTACGTAATTATTTTATTTATTCTATAATTATCTCTACATCTAATTCTAATTATACTTACTATACTATTTCTGAGAAGTTATTAGAGCTCCGTGGGAATAAACATCTATATTAATACTTAAAGGTAATTCTTTATACACATTTTAATTCAAAATTCGCGGACGTAAGAATTTGAAATTTGGAATACTTAAAGGTGCTTCTATACCAACCCAAATTAAAAAAAATCGGTTACATTAAGTTACACACGTCTAGTATAAGTATAAAACAGTTATGGCACAGAAAGATTTATCAATAAACTTAATGGTCGAAATTCAATCATCAGGTGATCTCAAGTTTGTAGAATGCGCTAAACAGCAACGCATAGTGTAATCCGAGAGTCTATGATTACTGAAATCTTTGTTCTCTATCCAATAAAATTGTTTTGTTGAGACATGTAAATTTAGGTTTATTACTTTTGTAGCCTAAACATTAAAATTAATATTTTCAGAGACATTATATTCATTTATAGGTTTAATAAGTATCCGAAAATGTATCAGCGGCATTGTAACATTTGCCTGCTATAACAGTTAGAATAAGTTATGATAACAAGTTGAACTGTATATCTTGGTATTTATTTAGGTTCCATTTTCAAGTCATTTCATCAATTTATATTCCAAGAAATGATGGGAATCAATATATTATAATGTTAAAATCTTTGAATTGAGTCGTTACATGAAATTAATTCCAACAAATAAATACGATTATATGTTTTTTTTATACAGGACAAAACGGTCATCTGCCCAAGCGCTAACATCAGTAGTGTCAAAAGCCTCATCAGGCCTCCAAAGTAAAGTCGGTCTCCTTGGCCAAGCTTCGGCCTTCATTGGCTCCGCCTCCGGCAAGACCAGTGGACACGGTGATGAACACCAAGGATATTCTTACGAACCGGTATGATTTTTACTAATCTTTGCGTGTATATTTAATAGCTAGTTTTAATGCATAATTTTTTTTTTAATGTCTAAGGCAAACAGGAGGGTTAGTGCGAGAGGTTAACATAATAGAACTGTGAGTCTTTTACATGTCCTGTCTATGCCGGATAACAGAAGCTATCTGATCAAGAAGCAATTAAATCAGAATCGGTTAGGTAAAATAAATCAAAATCGATTTATATGTAATTTGTCTGTTTCTTAGTGTGGCTTGATCGAGAATATTCTTAGCTATAATTAGGGTATTACAAATAAATTGATACTCATTGCAACTTAAACTCATAGGCAAGCAAGATTTTATTCTATTCACAAGCAAGATTTTACTCGAACTGCTACATTTTAGGAAATTCATCTACATCTTATACAGACAGGATAGTAGGAGTTGGAGTACTCCATTGTTTTAATTTATAAACCTAGATATTACGCAACATAAATTTTAATTTTATGATTTAAATGATTAAGATTATGTATCAAACCTCTTTACCAACCATAAAACCAACTAAATTGTGAAATCTTCGTGATACTACTATCACTATCTTTTATTCTACAGCATGAAGAAAAATACGATTATTTGGGCCTGAAGAAATCTATTCTGTATACTCTGTTCCAAGCTGTAAAAGCCATCACAGGAGGAGTAACAATTCTTAAAGGCCAGCTGATCAAAGGAGGTGGGGCCCTAGCAGCAACTTTAGGCAAAGTCATTTCAAGCAAAGGAGATGCGGTTAGCAACCTTGGAAAGAAGATTGTCAGCTCTGCAGCCCTCAGTCATAAGAAACCACATTGTAAGTAAAGTTTCACATTAGGCATAGTATAAATACATATTAAATTTTGAGATAGTGAGAGAACTGCTTTATTCCAATTTTGAGCTAAATATACGAATAATTTCACTGCAGTTTTTTTTTTATTTAATATAAAAAAAATGTGTAAACTCGGGTTAAAATATCCTACTTAAAATAAAATTACATTCTTCTCGTGAAACACAATGTAATATGATGAATATTTTTCTTCCCATATCTTTACCAAATGCTCAAAACCATTTCCTATCTCCTTAGGGAATTATTTTTATATGAACAATAGTACTTCCACTTCTGAGAAACCCGTTCGTGGACGAGATGCAAAAGCCCTTAACCTGCAAGATTTAAAATCTAGTCTGGCAACTGACAGATTTGCTGAGTACGATAATGCTCCTGTGACAGAACAACAAATCATTGTAAATGCTAGTGTGGATAAACGTTTCAATATAGGCACGCAAGTATTGAGTGAACTTCTTTTTGTTACCTCTACACCATCGGACGAGAACATAGTTGACGAAACTTTAGATATTCAAAGAAGATTTGGAATAGAAGAAGAGCTAGGGTTAACAGAGACTGTTACCGAGGTCTTATTTACAATCCCAGTGAGAGCTGAAGATAGTCAGGATGACAGTGATGCGGGTATAACGGAGCAGCCAATTTTAGTTTTAAGAGATTCAACAAACGGATTTACGAGTGATGAAATTATTTCAACAACTGTTATGCCATCTACTTTTGATAGCGTTGAACTCGATAATGACTCTAAAGTAACCGAAAAATCAGAAATTGAATTCATAACAACTGATGCACGAAGTAGAATGGAGAAAAGTAATTTTATTTCTACATTACTGACGTCGTCTACATTTGATGACAACACTGAAGTTCCTAAAACTGAAGCAATTACAACGAAGCAACCTGAAGATTCCTTAATTTTAGTACAATCAAAGAACAGTAGTACGGCGAAATATCTTAGATAACAAAAAAAAATTGCAAAGCAATAATACTAACAGGTTCCTAAACATTATTTGTGCTTTTACCCTTCCGATATTTCAGGCAGGTCCGTGTTCAGTAATGGTACGCTAAATATAATATTACCATTCTGATTGTTTACTTAAACGAATTAATTTCTTTCTGTAGTTTTACTTATTATTATTGTTCCTAAACATAGTATTAAATAATTCATGTTAATATTTTTGTAATTTACTTTAATAAAAAACATAAAAATTGAAAATTTTAGAGATGCTAAAAAAATACTTTAGTTCTGTTTTATTAATTTCAAACCGAATGTAAGGGTATACATATAATACAAATACACAAGTACACTTTGTAAATATATCAATACACAATTCTGTTCAATTCGTTAGTAAAGTCAAATCATTCCAGTGATTCTGTAAGTTTACAAGTTCTCTGGTATAGCAGAATACAAAAATATTTTCAGATACAAATAAATAAATTCAATTTATTGAAATTAAATTAAGTAATTATTTAAAATTCAGACACAGATTGCAACTTATTTTTATTCATATATGTATGTAATATCGACCGCATTTATAAGTAACTTATAAACCGCAAATATAAAATTTAAACATTAAAATAGGTACACAAAAAATAGCTCTTGTCTCCAAAGTCCAATATAATTAAAGTAAAATGTAGTTAATTTCTTTAACTTTCTTTACCTGTGTTACATCATACAAATAAATTATTGTGCAGCATTTTCCCTGAATTCATGGCGCAACATAACAAATTTACTTGGAACAAAACTACGCAATCATGTCGTCATAGTGTGCTATCCTGTTCATAGAGTAACTATGACGTACAAACTTATTCATTATACCGGACTTGGTAACTTATAACAGCTTCACTTATTTTAGTACATTTGTTATGTCGTTACAATTTGAACGTGTTGTGTTTTAGGGTCCTGTATATCAAATAAAAAAGTTTAAGTTGATATTTGGCACACATATTAATGTCTGTGACCCAAATTCAGATGTGCAACTTAAATAAATATTTTTTCATATATAGTCATTTTGGGGGCCGAAATAAAAAAATACTTTATGACATGTAAAACATATCAAATGAAATCTGTTTATTTCGGGGATGTTAGCTTCGGCGTCAATCTCGTTTCTCCTGTTCAATCTAGTTGGGGCTCTTTATCAAGGGGTGAAGTCCTGTCGCAACGATATCAGACAGAAATGATGTATATCATCATCATATATCCTATATCATCATCATCAACAGCCTATAACAGTCCACTGCTGGACATAGGCCTCTCCTTAGAAAGGAGGGTCACTGATGGCCTATATACAACCGTATTTCTGTAGTACATTATTACTATTGCAATACTTACATTTAATAAATCTAGTTACGTATATACATCGCGTGTATCGGACCTCTAATGACTTTATATGCCCTGACCTTTAAGGATAATTAAATAATAAACACTTAGTTCAAGGACTTTATGTAGGTAGTCAGATGTTACACAAATTTTCCATTTCATAGTTTACTTTGTAGACAAAGAGCAGGCAATAAGAATATTTTTCACGACAGCTGCTGAAGAACTCCTCTCACTACTTCCGCTTTAGCAACAGTGTGGTGTGTTCCGGTGTACTTTCATTACATTGTATGCATGTAATAGCTTTGTAATCATTATCATAATAAAATGTATACCTACTTGTTTATAGTTTCACATTTATACTTACTTTGTCCCTTATATACTTACTTTATAATAATATATAACATATATAATAATAATAATAATTCATACTCTCTAACAGACAGTGCAAGGTATGGACTGTATGAATATAAAATTTTGTATATAAAACTACAACAACGAAATAGTCTATGCTTTACATTGCAATTTTTTTGTAAATGTTATTTTGAATTTTTGGATTATTTTGAACACATGTCCTCTTGCCGTCTTAGGATTGAGAAGCATTTCTCACTTAGAAACAATCACCTGTACCAAAAATGTACGGAGCCATGAAATCTGTGGATGTATTATTTGCCTCTGCTTATCTCCTCGTGGACAAAATCGTGTTTAAAATTGTATTTTAAATTCTATATAAATTTACAGTATTTATCCTATAATACGTTTTAAAATATAAATGTACATTTTTCAGATCATTACGAACATCAATATAAGTATACACTCAAGGGTTAACTTCTATAATTTAAGACATACCTCGTTACTCCTCACCGAAAACTATCTGCTTACATAAATTAAATTTAGGTCAATATATTTAAGCACAACCTAATATTCCTCTGTCCTCTACACCTTATCTAAAAGATAATCTATACAATGAACCATGTGATTAATACATAAAGAGATTCAAAATAATATATTCCATTGATTACTGTCAATTTTACTTCTTTCTCTATCACTGACTATTATCATATCAACACACTCAATTCCAACTACACTTTCCAGCAACACATGTCTATGGACCACCCCCTACCGCACACTTGGAGTACGGCCCCCCTACAGCTTACGGACCTCCAACTGCCCCCGCTCACTTCACATCGCCCTCTGTAGCAACGGGATACGCCTCACATAAGTTCCCGTCTCAATTAGATGGTGAGTTACTTTTTAACTTTTATACTTGTCATATATTTCTTGTACACGCATGTAACGTCTTCTTGTCTGATCTCATTACGGATTAAAATAATAATATTCATAGGTATAATAGTAATATACATGATATCTAAAGCAGCAATCAATTAAAAGTTTTGTTTAATCAATTTCAAAATATATCAGTCTCAAAATCTCAAAGTATATTAAAAGGCAATAACTAGCCTAATGGTAAAAGTATAAATTTAATGTTGCGTGTATTTTTACCAACGTACTCGTATAATTTAAAAAAGCTGATGTCGTATGGTCATACGGTCAAAAACCTACTTACAACTTGAAGATAAAGAACTTGTTTACAAAAAAAAGTGTGTTACAAATGTAACGTTGTATTACATTACATAACTGAATCATGTATCTACTAACAAAGTTGTTATGTAAACATTTTTTACTAATGAACAAAAAGTAAAACTATATTCGTTGTAGTGAGGAAGGAAGTAAATTTAGTCTTCAACGATGCGACTATTAAAACGGGGATGAAAGGAGTTATACAAAAGTTACTTCCTGTAATATAACTACTGATTAAATCGATCATAAATAATTTTGCAAAGTACTCTATTCTTACATAAAACTTAGAAACTATTGAACACAAAAATATACTTGTTACGTTTCTTTAACTGAAGTCTCGTAATCTAGAAAAACTTATTTTGAAAAATTGCTCCGTCCCGTTTGAAAATATTATTTAAACCAGAAATTCATCGAATCACTTCACCATGATTTTTTTTGGGGATTGCTATTCGATGCTAAATGTTTGTTAAGAGTTCAAATTATTTCAATGGGATCTAGTAACCGTATCAGGCTGGGTAGACAAAAAAGAATGTAGAAAAAAAAGGGGAAGATAAAATGCAACTCTCAGAATAATATATTAATAGTAAAGAGATAGATAGAAAATAAGAGTAAAAATAATCAACTAAGTTAATAACGAATAGTTCAAACATTCAGTTTGACATCTATAATATTTATTACAACGTCACAATATTATAGACTTTAATGAGAAAAACATGCATTAACAAAAATGTGACTTAGCCCATTTTGATTATTAGCTCTATCTATATTTTTTTTTACTAAATTCACGTAGATTGCAATATTTTTGACATCTCCAAAGTATTTTAAGAAAACAAACTAGTTACTTAAGTTCGAAAGGAAGTGAACTCACCGGTCGCCTTAGGTGCAATCTACGGCTTAGTGTGATGTTGGCTTTTATATAAAATCATACCACGGGTATTTATTACATAAAATAAAAAGACTATATGGTCGATGTAGTTAAGAATATTGCAAAGTCATTTTAAAAATGGAACTTATCGAAAAGTACCTAATAAACAATCACTATTGCCATATCAATAAAGTCTGTCTAATAAAAACTGCACTAAACGAATGACTATGTAAGGTTGCATAATACGAGGTCACTAGTTCACGACACCGGAACTGAGCCGGTTAGAATGTTGGTGTCTTCCTACTTACACAACATCGCTTTGAAACACTCATTTTTTAAATGAGCTCTTAGATGTCTAATGTGCCAGTGTTAGAATTGTTAAAATGTCGAATCTTTAAGAACATATATTTTTATTGTTACCTTCCGGTTTATGTTTCAACTGGTTGAATATCATTAATGATTTGAACACACCGATTAATGCATTGTAACCTTAAAACTAACACTGATTACAATTATTACATTCTTAACAGCCACGTATAAATTTTTGCACGTCACTTCCATGCTTGAAATAGCCACCATGAAAATAAGCCTGACTTGTCGAAGCTCATACTTCATACTTTTCCTTTCTGCTTGTTTACCTAGATTACAAGTATTCTAAAACATAAAACATTGAATACCCTATTCGTATTCTAACCCAACACAAGCATTAAACCAAAATAATATGTCACGGTTGTTATACCCAACAATAAACGAATAATGTTTTATATTTACTAATAAACTTTAAAAATATCGTCACAGTATGCAAAGTTATTGTTAAATAAATGCTACAATATCTTAAGACCCATTATATTCAAATCATATTTATTATCAGGTAATGCGTGTCATAAAACGGATATTAGGTGTCATGACTACTTGGGACACACATCTCAACATGAAATCATTGTTTGCTAGACTATAAACATCTGTCTTCACAAGCATGTGTTTGCATGCACTTGTGCCTCTATGATTGCAGCCAAGAGTGGTCCTAATCATAACAGTTTTGGCTACATTTGCGTTAATAGCTAATAAGCAATAGCTTAAGTATGGTGGTATTAGCAATTTTATGTTAAAATTAAGATGAGACATGTTCAGTTCAGTATTATAGATTATAGATATACTACATTTAGGTAATCAATGGTCATAATCCTATTCTATATATTATTGATGGCAACAATCAATAATATGTATAATGTTATGCCGTCTTCTAGAACTAGAACCCCATGCACAAGCTAATAGTGTTGTGTAATAAATCACAGAATAGTATTATTATTTTATTTATGTCATTCCGATATGAGGATATTGTGTCAATTTCGTCTTAAATTATGATACCTAAGGTAAAAATCTGTAACGTAAGGTAAATTGTGTAACGAACATTCAAAACAAAACCACATCCAATGCTAATACCATTGATGTCGGTCGAAATTCGTCACCAACTCTTCGAAATTACATGCGTATTAGAAATTAATTAACAGTCGTGCTAACTGTAAAGGAAAATGACCTAAGGAAACTAGCTTACTTGATAGTATTCCTTACGATACCGATTTTTTGAAAAGGTAACTAGATCCGCCATTTAGTAAGCACCGTTGGGTTATCACGTGATGGGCTAACAGAATCACATGATGAGTATTACACTATTGACATCAATAACAGTACCAACATGTTACGTAAAACAAAAAATATAGTTCATACATTATTTCTTGTGTAACGTTGATATAACGAGTAGGTAGCTAAACATTTTATACTTTATCGAAAATTGGGATATCTTACTATATTGAGGAATAATAAATATCAAGCTATGAATGATGAGTTACATAAATTGCGATTCAAATTATTGCTTCCTATTTTATAGTGTACAAGCTTTTGTCCGCAGCTCCGTTATTGTTATAAAAGTAACCTATGTTACTCGCTGATAATGTATCGTTCTATTGATGAAATAATTTTCAAAATCGGTTTAGTGGTTTAGGCGTGAAAGCGTTACAAACAAACAAACTAACTTTCACATTTATAATATAAGTATAGCTGCCATTTATTATTTGTTCATTCGATTAACTTATACTGCATACATTATATAAGATAGATATTACTGTATAGTAGGTATATATATACATTCACTTGAAAAATCATGTCATGACTTGATTTCTGTGAGCATTTTTTCTTCTAATTACACACTATTTAACTTTTTTGAAAAATAAACAGAAAGAAACTGAAACGAAAAGAAACAAGTTCTTGACTTAATCAAAAAGATATCTAAAAATGGTTATTTCGTTGAGTTGTATGCCGTGGTTGTGGGTGCGAGGGGTATCTGCTGAGTCCCTCTTTAACCTGCTTAAAGACCTTGGATCGCTAAGAGCTTCTCTAAGTTTTTTCGTGAACGTTTATCCTAATCGGATTTGCCAGGCTCGTATCAAACATGGTTAGGTAGAGAGGGTAACACAGCAGACAGGTGGAGGTAAGCGCTGACGCATCGCAAGGAGTACTTCCTAAGCTTACTCCTGCGTCGTAATTCCTAGGCGCTGTCGAAGTCGCGTGTATGCATGGAACGCTAAGAAATAGGTGTGACACTGCCCCGTAGTCACAAAAAAAGAAAGGCTTCCTTCTTAAGAAAATATCTTAAAAATATTTCTCGGTACAATAATATTGTACGATAGATGGTCTGACTCCTAATACTTTGCGTGAGTACATTTGTTTTCTTTTGTCAGACCTCCATATACTGCAATATGAACATAAATACATTACAATGAACAGTACATAAATCAAAAAGCCCATTAAATTCGTACCTAGTCATGAATAACAATCGATAAATGTAGCCACTTTGTTACTCGTACTTGAAACTGCAGTTTACATAATAGTTATGAGAGAAGAATAGATCTTTGTCTCTAAAGGCAGAAATATTATATTTATTATATTATAATATATATTTTTGTGCAAAAAGCAATTAATCTTGACTGTACGGATGCGTAGTGGTTTAAGCGGTCACCTCGCCGTTTCTTCCTGGCGAGTGTTGTGGGTTCGATCCCCACATAGGAGAACACTGTGTAATCCCAAAATTGTTGTTCTGAGTCCGGGTGTTCTTTGTATCCGTTTCATAAATTTTTGTCCAGTCCCCCGTTATACAGGATTATATTCCTCGTGCGGGAGTTGTAAAAAAATAATAATCTTAAATTATGTTGTACCAACTTAAATTTTATTAAAATGTTAAGTCAAGTTGAGGCCAATTGCTACTACTAATAATTAAACCAGAACAATTTTATTTTCTGCGTCATTGACACGTCTCTAGCGTGAAGCAATTGGAATATTTCGCTCCACTACAGTGGTATTAACAGTAAAAGTTCTGAACAAACATAATATGGTAATATATAGGTAGGTGCTCTTTTATTCTTTTTATCCATTCCTTAATCTCTTTTAATATTAACTATCTGTTAGGAACTAACTGCTTAAGTAAGTAAAAAAATAATAATAATTAAAAAGGTTTAACCGGTCTCGTCAAATCTATATATAAAACTAAAAAAAAATTATGTTGATTTGTGTACGCTTCAATTACTCAGAAATTCCTGCACCGATTGAGCTTAAATTTTGACACGATATACAGGCTTCAAAGATGGTTTTTATATATTTTTTTCAAACCACAGCAGTGGCATTCCGTGGCAGGTTACAGCTAGTTAAATTTTATATTTTTTTTAATGTTCTAAATGGAACAAAATGATTAAACAAGCTGTTTTTGGCTTTTTACAATATTCATTTTATGTTTTCAGAAATG